TATGTTTTGCTTTTATCGCCATTTATCGATCACATTATCAATCAGCAATTTATTGATAATATGATCGAACATTGCCTCATAACTTTTAGTGCAGGAATTTATTTCAGTGGCTTATCGATCATCTAATCGATAAGAACATTATCGATCACATGATCAATAATCAACATATCTTTGTTACATCGTGGCTCTTCGATCACCAGATTGATAATAAGATTATCGATAATATTATCGATAACCACACTTCATGTTTATTTTGTTTTCACAGAACATAATCGATAAATCAGCTCTTTGGTTTTACAAGAAAAGACCTCTTTATCAATAACATTATCGATCAACCCTTTATCGATCATCTATTCGATCAACTTATATAGCCTGTGCTTTCACAAAATATCGATAAATCTTTTGCCTATTGTTTTATCGATGATAAGGTTTCCATATCTATTGTTTATTGATAAGGTTATCCATCATCTATTTATCGATAAAGTGTTCGAAAATTAGTATTTCAAAAGTCATTTCTATAACACTCTATTTATCGATAACCTGATCAATCAATAAGTATTCGATCACTTGTTCGATCATGAGGCGATTTCAATTTAAACCTTAAGACTCGATGTTTCTCAAAATTTATCATATATTTCATTCGAACTTTTCTCAGCCTTCATAAATGTCTTGTTTCACTATTTAAATAGTTTCAAAATCAAAAGCAACCTTGATCTTCATTGTCTATGCATCATAGTATGATATCACTATTTCCTTTTATCGATCACCTGATCGATAAACCATTGATCCATCACTTGATCGATTATCTTAGTTCTCTAGTTTAAAAGTTTTCACTCAGAATAATCGATAACCTGATTGATCAAGTAATAATCGAACATCACTTCGATCAAGCACGTTCAGTTACTACCCAGTGTATCTGACAACTGATTGATTCTAACTATAAACTATGAATATTCGGTTATCACTTGTTTGGATCTACTCTTGATCTTATTTTACGAAGAAAAACTTATTGAATTAATGTATTTTTGCAGATTACGAAGAAAATCCTAATGGCACTCCAACGGTTGTCCAAGTAGCCTATAACCTACCTTGTCAGAAGCATTAATGGCGGAAACCGTTGCAACTGGAAAAACACTCAATCAGACACACAATGGCTAGAAGCTCTTCCGTCTAACGGTTACTAAACGACCTCAACTATATAAGACGCGAAGAAGCATTAAATGAACAGATTGAATACGTGAGCTACCCTCTGTTGATTTTTACTGTTGCATTCAATACTCTGTTTTTCCATAACACCGAGCGTTAGTGATTATCATTTATTCACTCTGTAAGAGAGTTTATTTACTACTCATTAATCACGTTTGTGTGATACTCAAGGGTGTGGACTCTTGAGTGGGGCTGTAACCTTACGGGAAGTAAGGAGGAGTGATTGAGAGTTTCAATTACTGTACTAAGGCGCCAAGAGTCCGATCAATCTTAAAACATAGTGAAATACTTAGAGGTGTTCTGAGGACTGGACGTAGGTCAAGTGGTTGAGACCGAACCAGTATAAATCTTGTATCTTCCTCTCTACGGTGAAATCATTCTAAATTCACACTTTCTGTTTTTGATAGTTCTTTGTTTTAATTTCATAAATTTTTATAACTCACCCAATTCACTCCCTCTTGGATGAGACTGCCACTAACAAATGCCACTACAAAGCATTGAGTAAACCTAATGTCTTAGGACGTCACAAGTCTCTGGTTGCACCACTGGTCCCTTCTTCATTCGCAATAGCTTTGAAAGCTCCAATGACCTTAGAAATGCATCCTTAAAACAAACTTGTAAACTTCCTTCCACAAAGTAATGTCTCTATGAGGCATTGAGTAAACCTAATGTCTCTGGACATCAACGCCTTTTGAGATGTTCAAAGAAACCTCGGTACCACACACTATAGATATAACAAGGTGGAACCAAATGTACATGCAACATGAAGTTAGTTCAAAGTTGAAGAAAGAAGTTGGCTAGAGGCAACATAGTAGTTGAAAACAAAACATACGGGCAGCCTAAAACTAACAAGAATAGCCATGGCACTACCCATTCCATGGCTATCCTTTCCCCTCAGCTTCATTCTGCTGAAATCTGAGTTTTTTCTTGCTTTTTTTTTTTAACAAAAAAAACTCTTGAAACCTTAGCAGAGTTAGAACAAGAACCTTCCTACACAGACATTATCAGCATACAATGAGTTTTTCCTCTTGTGACTCTTCTCCCCATGCTTATGCTCCATGATATCATATCCAATGCTAAGCCATTTGGTGTAAAGAATAAGAAACCAGCGTCTTTTATCTATAATCACTCTTCTTGATTGACTATCCCTCATTATAACTTAACAGCATTGTTTGAGAAGGAAGGACGTATGACAAGAGAATCTAGCCTTGATGTCTTATATTGAAATGAACACCTTAGACATATCAAACAGCGAAATACAATTAAATTCACTCAAACATGATATTAATAAAGGACATAAAACCAATATTAAAGAGACTAGAGATGATATATTCAATCGAAGAGGTAAGGCTGACGTGTAGGGATCTAATGGAGCCAAAAAGGCATATACTTGAAGTATGGGGAAACTAGGGAAATGACCTAATCAAAAATTAACTAGGAAAAGAACTTGATCGAGAATGTGCAATTTATCTTTCATAATTTACATTTTATTTTCATGATTCTGCATTTTCTCTTCCTTGTTCTATAATCTTAGTCATTTTCCCCAATTAACCTTTTGATTAGGTCTTTTATTCCCCAATTTTCCCTCAAAGACTAGAGATCCATTCATCTATTTTAATATTGCAGATGATCATACAACTTAATTCTTTTTTCTTGGTTTTTATGAATAATCAAAATGATATCACCAAATAACATAGTCATATGACATTTACAAAATAAAAATAAAGAAGAACAGTTGTTAAGAGAAAATAAGATATTAGCTAAATCCTTTTGAGTTGTTGATTAAAAGGAACGTCTTTGAAAGGTAGAAGATTTTCTATCTATCTCTTCTAGTGTTTGTGATGAATTGGGAATTAATGATCCAGCTCAAAATTGCGTGAAGACACTTTAGCTTCTTCCTCTAGAATTGTTGCAAAGAAAGGCAGCCAAAAGCACAAGTCTCTACCAGCAATCTTTGAAGAAAACTTAAAATGATGAAATTTTCAAAGGACTAGCCTAATTCCATTGGTGATGTCTTCTTTTCTTTTTTGCGAGTAGCCTGTTCAAAGAGAAAGCAAGATTAATTTCATCACCCCACAAAGTGATTTTAAATTGCAACCCACCTCTTCGAGAAGAACAAGACCAATCAATCAAATTTGAGAGATGAACCCACAACATTGCCCAGCTATTTTGCAACTACCTCCATGTAATAATTCATAGGCTGATCAAATGCTTGAATCCAAACATTAATATCCTTGCAGTAAGCTTTGACTATGGGAAAGTCTAGTTGCCATTCAAATATAAAGTAACTGAGTGTTCTTAAACAGGATTAAGGTCCGATCTCGAACATCTTTAAAGAAAACCATCAAATAATTTTTAAAACTGTGAATAACTCAAACTTCACCTTGAACATGCTAGTAAAGATGGATTAAGGATTGAAGATTTATAGTATGGATAAGGATTATCTCTAATTTGAACCAAGATAATGATACCGACAGTATTGCAAATATCTCATGACAGTTAGGGCAACATTTGAGATTGGAAAAATTGTCACAATCATATCATAACTAAACAATATAAAAGGAAACTAGAGACAAAGGCGAAAGAAATTGAAGGAACTGTTACCAAAAGATCTAAGAACTAACAAGAAAGCATGAACTGAAGCAGTAATGTGAAAAATGTACCATCTTTCTAGGAGAACTTTCGCTCTCCTCCCATCGCATGAGAGCATTCATCACTTTTTTTTTTTTTTTAAGCATAAACTAACTTGGAGTTTTCTCAAATTGTTTAAAACTTGAGACGAACGTTAACATTAAACCTTTTTCAATAACTACGTTTTTTAAGATTCAAACTTTTTTCTTTTTTAATGGAAGTGAGATCACAAAAGTTTGATACATTCATGAACTATTTTAAACCTTGAGAACATACAAAATCAAAGTATTTATTTTCAACGTTGAGCTTAAGGTCCAGGAAGTAATGTCGTGAAAGGACTTTATTATTATATTTTTATGTATTTTGTCCCTATATATGAAAATTATTATGAGTTTCATGTATTATAATCTAAAATTAAGCTGTCAAAATTCGTAACTAATTAAACTCCGAGAAATTCCATTTGTTAGTTAGTGAACTTTTAATGTTACATGTATAAGATCCAGGTCAAAAAAGAAAAAAATGTTATATATATATGTATTTATATAGAGGAGATCTATGATTTTCAAACAAATGAGATGAATATAATATAAGTTAAGATGTTTATATCTACTAAATAAGTTCATAAATGAATTAATGAGTGTGCTTACACATTAATGTCAAAATAACAGATGTCCATATGCTTAAATTTATAACTGCACATACCTGGTAAAAAAAAAAAAATTTGTGACAGCACTTTCGCATTTTAATAGTTAACAAAAATAATATAACCAAGGTGGACTGATGAATTTACAAATTATATACATTTTAACAACAATGCAAATATGCAATGAAGTTGAACTAAGGTTTGTCCATAATTATAAATAGAAGGGTTAATACAAATTTTAGTGTTTTAATTTTTTTTATTTTGATTTTAGTTTTTTAAATTTTACATCATATATTTTGTTCTTTTAATTTTTTTTATTTAAAACATTGATTCTTATAATTTAATAAAAAATTAGATCATTTTATTTATTGAGGGAGTAAAACTTATAATTTAAAGCTTGAGAGTTTAAAATGAAAATCAGGATAAATTTGAGAAATTAAAAAATATAGTAATCATAAATATAAATATAAATAAAATGTAGATTTGGCGGAAAATCCAAACTACCCACGCGACACGCTGCAGGGTCCATCTTTGGTCTTTCAGTCACTCGCTCTTCTTTCCAGCTCATCTTCAGACACGATCCGCTTCTGATTCAATTCAGTCCCCTCCGGTCTGTGTCTTCTCCGTTCTGATTTCCGACCACTGTTGACTTATACTCTTCAATGGGAAATTGCAGCGGCGTAGCCTCCGGGCATAGCCAACCAGGCAACGCCGACGCCGCCCATTCCGGCCGTGCTCCTGACCAACGCAACAATGGCATCACCGTCCTCCCTCCGGACTCCAACCCCTCTCGTCCTCCTCCACCACCTACACCAGTTCTCTCTTCCGCCGTCGGACGCGTCCTTGGCCGACCCATCGAGGACGTGCGTTCCACCTATATCTTCGGCCGCGAACTCGGTCGTGGTCAATTTGGTGTTACCTACCTGGTCACCCACAAAGTCACCAAGGAGCAATTCGCCTGCAAATCCATCGCTACCCGCAAACTGATTAACCGCGACGATTTGGAGGACATTCGGCGCGAGGTTCAGATCATGTACCACCTCACTGGTCATCGCAACATTGTGGAGCTTAAGGGAGCTTACGAGGATCGCCACTCTGTTAATTTAATCATGGAGCTTTGCGCTGGCGGGGAGCTGTTTGATAGGATCATAGCCAAGGGGCATTACTCGGAGCGAGCCGCGGCAGACTTATGTCGGCAGATCGTAACGGTTGTGCATGATTGTCACACCATGGGAGTTATACATAGAGACTTGAAACCTGAAAATTTCTTATTCCTCAGTAAGGAGGAGAGTTCACCTCTTAAGGCAACTGATTTTGGCCTCTCCGTGTTCTTCAAGCCAGGTTGCTAATTTTGATCTTGCCTTCCATTCATTGGCTTATCCTGCCGCCACCCCCTTTTTGCTAATTTCATTTTGTGTACTGATGCGTGTTGTGAGGAAGGCAGTTTGTTCACTTTGTTTTAGTTGAATGGGTCAGTATGTGCATAGTTTCGTTGCATTTTAGGATATTTGTGATGGTTCTGAATTTGGTGGTTAAATTTTGAGGGCAGGAGATGTATTTAGAGAGCTTGTTGGGAGTGCATATTATGTTGCTCCTGAGGTCCTGAGTAGAAGCTACGGACCAGAAGCTGATATTTGGAGTGCTGGGGTTATATTATACATTCTTCTCTCCGGCGTCCCACCCTTCTGGGCAGGTGAAGCTCCCTCCTTCCCAAGCTATGAAATGAACTGAAATCTATTTTTATGCATGTGTGTAGCTAGATGTAAATTTAGAATGTTACTACATTTGGACTTCTCCCTTGATTACGAGCTTCAATTTAAATCAGAGTTTAAATGTGGAGATTTGCTTCTCTTGTACCTTTATTGGATATGATACACTGAGCAGGCATGAAGAGATTTGTTTACATTTAATGTCTCACTTTCTTCTTATCTTTTGTATGAAGAAAATGAACAGGGTATCTTCAATTCAATTCTCCGTGGGCATATTGATTTCGCATCAGAGCCTTGGCCTTCCATCTCAAGTAGTGCCAAAGACCTCATCAAAAAGATGCTTCAATCTAACCCAAAAGAAAGGCTTTCAACAGTTGAAGTCCTTAGTAAGTGGTTTTGCATTGTTTCTAGTTTTATTTGTCCTTTTTAGTTGCTCCTATTTACGAGGGAGCATTATTTTCCACATAAAAGTCTCTATGTATCTTAAATAGATTCTGGCTTACAGGAAGGATAATAGAGAGACATAGTGATTGACTTTGAGATAACAGGACATGGGAGTGCCCTAGTAAAAAACAATGTTTTAAAGCATCATGTTGTTTTTTTCTTTTTTCTTTTTTTCTTTTTTTGGGTCTAACCACCCAGTATTCGGAAGCTTCATTGGGCTCTAACTAATCCGGCTTGAGCTAGGAAGGACTGCAATGGTAGCATGAGTATCTCATGCATCTGCATACCTATGGCTCGAACTCAAGGTCACTTGTTAAGCAAGCATAGGCCCCTACCAGTTGAGCCACGTGCTTGTTGTCTTACCTTTTATCCTTACACAGCACCTTAGATTTTTCTATGCCTGATGTATCGCTTGCTCTTCTATTGTCCCCCACCACATCCTCATATAATGTATTTGTTCTGTATGTTTGCCTTTTTAAGCACACAGTAGTATGCATGAGTTACTTTGTGATTGATGTCATAGTTTGAAAGTAAATGCCACCTTATCTCCCTTTTTTGGCCTTTATGTTGACAAGGATTCAATGTGATTGTTTATTTGCAACTTGTTGGTTAGTTATCTAGCTCGAGGAACATAAAATATCACGTACATCCATGCCTGTGCTTGTCCTGTTCTTTTCTTCCTTATCTTTGGTGCGTCTTAAGATCATTTGGGCTGTAAATGGCATTATGCTTCTTCAAATCAACTGGGTAATAAGATGCTCTGCAAATAAATATTCAGATCATCCTTGGATGAGAGAAGATGGGGATGCATCTGATAAGCCACTTGATATTGCTGTTCTATCCAGAATGAAACAATTCCAGGCAATGAACAAGCTAAAGAAAGTAGCTTTGAAGGTAAGTTATCATTTGTCATCAATCTTGTCGCAAAACTATTTATCATTGATACTAAGGTTTCGGCAAAATATCTGAAATTACTGCTAGATTGAAAGCATTGAAGTCAAAGAACAGTATATATTAATAGGAGGGCCGCAAAAAAGAAGGTAACTGAACTAGATCAAGGGTTTAAATGCTCTTGCTGCTTTGGCTGCCAGAAAATTTGGTTCCTCCTTTGTCAACCTGATAGAAGATGGACTATTTAACCATCATGAAAGCCTTTTGCTTCAACTGTGAAATCTCATCCTTCGAATCCGTACTAAAATTATGCATTCTATTTTATTCAGGTAATTGCAGAAAACCTCTCCGAAGAAGAAATCATTGGTTTAAAGGAAATGTTCAAATCCATGGACACAGATAACAGTGGAACAATAACTTTTGATGAATTAAAAGCTGGTCTCCACAAACTGGGTAGTAAACTTTCTGAGCCTGAAATAAGGCAGTTGATGGAAGCGGTAAGATTTCTTTTCTTTTTTATTGTAGCATTATGGTGCTTCCAGAAGATCTGATCTCCGCTAATATTCATTTGAGAAGAATGTCTGATTGGAGGTAAGATCACACCCTATTTCTGAAGCTTTTTTTGAATGAAAAGCTGCATCATTAATCAAAAAAGATATTTATGATCAATCTCATCTTTACTCTCTCCTTTCACCATCAAACCTCATTATGGATGATCAAAGGTACACCAAATCTCCATAGAAGAATGTCCCAAGTTGGCTAGAGTATCAGCTTGAAAATTTCATTCTCTACAAACACAGTTATAAGAAACATCCCATTCGCTGTACAATAAATTCCTAGCTTTCTCAGAAGGCTTACAAGTAGGATGACTTTCCGCGTTATCCCTCTTAATCAGATTAAAGCCTTGGGCACTGTTAACTTTAATATTTCTAAGACCCATATTGCGGCAGATATTCAGACAAATGGTAATGGCTTTTATTTCCGTAATGGTTGGAGGCATTGTCATCACTTTGCTGCACAAACCTTTCAGTCATGTTCCTTCTGTGCTCCGTATAATTCCTCCGCAAGCACTGTTATCATTATGCATGACAGAACCATCCACTTGAAGCTTGACGTAGTTTTGCTGGCTATTCCTTTTTATCCCACTTTCGTTGCTCTTTCTTCTCATACTGTTGCAGCTAAACAGTATTCACCTATCTTGTTGATCTTTACAATAGCTTGCTATCTTGTTAATAGCCTCCTCTGAACCATTTGTCTTAAACAAGGCATTGGAACGTGTGATCCAAATATCCCAAAAAATATATGCATAAAGCGTGCTCCATGGGATCTGGTTTATGTCACTGCACCCTACTTCATTATCAAGATTTCACTTTACCCATTCTATCCATAATTCAGGCATGATAAACATCTGCCCTTTTTCTTCTTCTTTACAATCTTGAAACAGTGCAGCACAGTTTCTTCAGCATCGCAACCCCTTAGACATTGATTAGTATCCAGTAGGCCTCTTCAATATCTAAGAGAAGTTGTGTGTACTGTTTCATGTGTCATGAGCCAAAGTAATGGCTTGTATTTCTCCAGAACTTTCAGCTTCCATGATTTTTTTCTCCTGTAGAACCTGTTCCTTTCACTTTCACCTGCACTCAAAAACAAATAACAGATTTTACAGTGCAGTTACCATCTGAGGGTGGTTTCCATTTGGACTTTGATCTCTCTCATGGTTTTCGTGCAAGTAATGGCGTTCACAACATGAGTAGGTAACCAGAACCTCAGCTTGGGTCTATTCCAATCCCCAGAAGGAAGAACCTCTCTCACTTTTTCTTTGGTAACCCGCAATCCAATCCCCACAGGACGCAGAAGAAAGATAATTGCAAGAAGTAAAATGCTAAGGGTCTGTTTGTTTAAGCTTAAAAATAATTGATTTTTAGAAGGTTCAAAGATTTTATGAAAAGCAAATTATTTTATAGAGATTCTGATAAAAGCAGAAAGTTTTTAATATTTGGTTACAATTATGAAAAAGTGATTATTATTTAATTATTTGTAGATATTGAATCTTTTCCATTCATAAAAAAACCATTTGAATTATTTGGAGTATTTCCATTCCAAAGGTAGCTTCTCAAAATGAATAGAAATCTGCCTTTTTCATTCCGATTATTTTCAAAAGCTTAAACAACCACTGTAGAATTTCATAAACAAATGGGCCCTAAAGGACTCAAAAAGTTTGACCTGAAGCAAGAAGTATATCAGTTCATTCATGGAGATGATTGCAAAATGTACATTTTGATCTGAGATATGTTCTGACATACTTATGCACACTACTGATCTTCTGTAGCATTGGAACTATTTTATTTCAGGCCCATAACTGGTTAACATTTGATTATTAGTCGCTCTAAATATTTTGCTTAAATATTCTTCTGAACTTGTATTATTTTATTTACTCGGATAACTTGTTGATATGTGAACTTTTGATCTTACTAGTCCATTTGGGTCAGTATAATATCTTTCATGGCTAAATCACTTTTCAGCTTGCTTCCTGCATCTAATCTCCTCTGTCCGTTGTCAAGATCTTGAGTTAAATGCAAACTCATTAATTTTATCTACTGTCTTCTTGTCATCTTCTGTAGCCAAACCTAGCCTTGCGAATTTTTAGACATAATGGTCTGTGCATCAGTGTGCTGCCACTATAGAGCCACTTCAATTTCCAATTATATTGTATGATCTATACATAAAACAAAGTAGAAAGGATGTGAATATTATCTCTAGTGCTGCTTGATAATGTGGTTATTAGTCTTGTGATGGTTTTTCAATATGTCAATGTAACATATTTTTCTGGTTTTCAGGCTGATGTAGATGGAAATGGAGCCATTGATTATATTGAGTTTATATCGGCTACCATGCACATGAATCGAGTGGAAAGAGAGGACCACCTATACAAAGCCTTTGAATATTTTGACAAGGATAAGAGCGGGTTGATCCAATGTTTTCTTTCATAACTAGCAATTTAGCCAGTCTGACCATTCTGGATTTTGAATGATGTGTTGGTTCTCTTTTTCCTGGCTTCTGCAAATACAGGTATATCACCAAGGAAGAGTTGGAATCTGCCCTTAGGAAGTATAATATGGGTGATGAGAAAACTATAAAGGAGATAATTGCTGAAGTTGACTCAGACAATGTATGCTGTTTTTCTGCTTTAATTCCATTGCTTACATTTATCCTTGCATACCTGGGCAATGATTGGCTATAACTTAGTTCTTGAAATTGCAGCAACGCTAGGGTTATTTATAACCTGTGAAGATATTTGTTGCTGCCCTTTAATACTGTGTCAATCACTTTTCCCATCACACAAACGTATTGTCTGTTATCCAAGAAAAATGAATAAATAATGACCAAAATAAATACAGAAAAGCGGTTCTGTTGAAAATAACAAGTTTTTAATAATAGACAGACTAGATACATGAATATATTAATGGATATCGTCAGGGTCAAGTGTCTTATGTTTTCATTGGACGTTTTTTTTTTCTTGGGGCGAATGTTTTAATTGGACGCGTTAAAGATTATAATTGAGGTCATAGAACTGTAAACTTCATGCTAGGTAGTAGTGGTGGAAAGAAATTAAACAGAATGAATTCTTTAATTCTGGAAGCATTCTAGGTATAGATTATTGTTGATGTCTTTTAGCCCTCTGGCAGTATTATCTAATGACGTGACATTCTCTCCTTCTGATTGGTGGCTATCATTCATATTTTGTTAAATTATAGATATAGACGTTCATAAAGGAACTGTTTGGTGCCTTGATATCTTCATATTCTCTAATATTTACTTGTCTGTTATGGCAAATGAAATTTGTAAAAGAAGGCGAGTAAATGTTATTCTATAAAAGCATATATAAGAAATGATGTTTTATGAATGTCATATCTCTAGTTTTTTAAAGGGCGCTTTATTTCACCTAAATGGCGTGTCATCTGTCCCTTGATATTGTATGCCACAAGATGTTTTGGATATCAATATATCAAATACAACTAATTCAGTTGTCTCCTAATTTATATGTGAATAGAATCTAGCTTTTGTTATGCATGTACTGTTCCTAATGACTTTGTCAATCCATAGTGTCAATGGATAATATTTTTTAGATTTTGTTTTGTAGTATTATATATGCATATACATGTTAACCGTATATATTGGATAGCCATTGTGAATAGTGATGAATAATAAAAATTAGATTTGTGTGTGTGTGTGTGTGTGTCTCTCTCTCTATTGGGAGAAAATAACTGCCAGTGGCATGTTGCCACAATGCAACCAACACTTCCCCGATTGAGGGGATGTTGCAGGTTTGATGCCATGCAAGTGAGTGTGTTTCCCAGTTGTTCCAAGCCGAAAAGAAAAAGGAAAATAGTTGGCACTATTCTCACAACAATAATTTTAAGCAGTATGCAATTATTTTTTTCCCTTCATTTTTCTGTCTATATTTGTTGTTAACTTTTTCTTTTGAAGGTTTACTTTACATATTCTCCATTGCAATGGGAAAATTATTCTAGTTTTGAGTATAACATGATGATGATTGTGTTCTTAACAACCCCATAGTCCTGTGAAATTATCTCTCTGCAAGGCGGCTAATTCTCAGCTTTGTCGCAGGATGGAAAAATTAACTACGAAGAGTTCGTAGCCATGATGAGGAGAGGCAACCCGGACTTCGCAAACAACAGACATCGTTAATAAACTCAGCTGGAATTGCCTGTCTTCACGCAGATTCAATACGGTATTAATCTGAACACTCGCGCGCCATATAGCTTGTGGTTCTTTTCTGGGACCATTTTATTCATATCTATTATGTGCTCACCTTCACGGTGGCTGAGTAAACGATGATTGTGTGTAAATTTGAGAAATAGATAAAATTCTTCTTTCTGCAGCTTAAAGAGTGAGCAAAAGATTACGTCTTCAAGTCTGTCTTCTTGTAATTACATTTTGGTTATTTGTTCACTAACCAACCATCACTCAGGATGCTACGCAATACAGCTCTGTAGATACTCTGTTTTCTCGATATTGGTTCTTTGGTTATTAGATTTATTTTGAGATTTTCATGTTTCACTGTTACATTAAAAAAAACTAGGTGAATATTAAAATAAAAATATATCTAATAATAAAGAAATTTGAGCTGTAGAATTATATTCTCTTCTATATTCTAGCTACTGCGTAATGTTACTGTAGAAACGGCTGTGACCGGTTGCATCATGAAAATTAATGTGGTGCTGCTATTATCTTTCTAGTTGTAGTACTATTTACGTTTTTTCTAATACACGCACGCGCAAATCTATAAATAATGTAACAAATTTATTAAAAATTTGACCCTGCTCATCATTGACCTGGGAATTTTTAGTTTGATTTCTGTAAGCTTAAGGTGTGTTTGGTTTAACAGAAGAAAGGGGAGGGGAAGGATTTTAATAGAAGGGAGAGAAGGAGAGGGAATGGGAGAGATTTCAATAATTAAAAAAAAAAAAGAGGAAAGGGATTTTAGTGTTATTTTGTTTGGTTAAGTAATGAAGGAGAGGTTTCAATAACTAAAAAAAAAAAAAAGAGGAAAGGGATTTTAGTGTTATTTTGTTTGGTTACGTAATGAAGGAGAGGTTTCAATAACTAAAAAAAAACAAAAGAGGAAAGGGATTTTAGTGTTATTTGTTTGGTTAAGTAATGAAGGAGAGGGCTATTATCAAAAAAAAAAAAATGAAACAGAGGGTTGAAATTTTTTTATGGACGATTTTATCCTTATTTTTTTAAGGGAAAAAGACAGAAAAAATGCACCTTTAATTTCATAAACCCAGAAAACGTCCGCTGAATTCAGAAAATCCCATTTTGGTACCATGAGACCAAATTGGGATTAATATGTGAAAGGAAAAGACCACATATGCCCTTCATTTTAAATATTATTTTAAAATATCACAGCCCTACTGGCGGGCCGGTCACCGGACCTCCGGCGGCGGCGGTCACCGGAGCTCCGGCAACCATCCGACAATTGGTCACCGGAGCTCCGTCGGTCGGAATTTTTTTTTTGAAAATTTTTACAACTTCAATATAACGGTTAACAACTTTTGTAATGCGATTAACAACTTCAGTATAACAATTAACAACAGCTTTTCTAGGAAATTCAACAAACTCCGGCGACCGGAAACAATTATTTTGAAAATTTTTACAACTTCAATATAACGGTTAACAACTTTTGTAATGCCATTCACAACTTCAATATAGCAATTAACAACAGGTTTTCTGGAAAATTCAATAAACTTCGGCGACCGGAAACAATTTTTTTGAAAATTTTTACAACTTCAATATAACGGTTAACAACTTTTGTACTGCTATTAACAACTTCAATATAGCAATTAACAAAACCAACTCCGGCGACCGGAAATAATTTTTTGAAAATTTTTACAACTTCAATATAACGATTAACAACTTTTGTAAGCCTATTAACAATTTCAGTATAGTGGTTAACAACAAGTTTTTGAGTTTGTTAAAGGCATTACTGAAGTTATAAAAATGTCACTTTTTGAATTTAAAAACTTGTTGTTAACTGCTATATCAAAGTTGTTAACCGTTATATTGGAGTTGTAAAAATTTTCAAAAAAACGTAATTGTTAACGTTGTACTGAAGTTGAAAATTTTTACAACTTCAATATAACGATTAACAACTTTTATAATGCTATTAACAACTTCAATATAGCAATTAACAACAAGTTTTCTGGGAAATTCAACAAACTCCGGCGACCGGAAATAATTTTTTGAAAATTTTTACAACTTCAATATAGCGGTTAACAACTTTTGTAAGCCTATTAACAATTTCAGTATAGCGGTTAACAACAGGTTTTTGAGTTTGTTAAAGGCATTACTGAAATTATAAAAATGTCACTTTTTGAATTTAAAAACTTGTTGTTAACTGCTATATCAAAGTTGTTAACCGTTATATTGGAGTTGTAAAAATTTCAAAAAAAACGTAATTGTTAACGTTGTACTGAAGTTGAAAATTTTTACAACTTCAATATAACGATTAACAACTTTTATAATGCTATTAACAACTTCAATATAGCAATTAACAACAAGTTTTCTGGGAAATTCAACAAACTCCGGCGACCGGAAATAATTTTTTGAAAATTTTTACAACTTCAATATAGCGGTTAACAACTTTTGTAAGCCTATTAACAACTTCAGTATAGCGGTTAACAACAGGTTTTTGAGTTTGTTAAAGGCATTACTGAAGTTATAAAAATGTCACTTTTTGAATTTAAAAACTTGTTGTTAACTGCTATATCAAAGTTGTTAACCGTTATATTGAACTTGTAAAAAATTTTCAAAAAAACATAATTGTTAACGTTACAATGAAGTTGAAAATTTTTACAACTTCAATATAACGATTAACAACTTTTATAATGCTATTAACAACTTCAATATAGTAATTAACAACAAGTTTCTGGGAAATTCAACAAACTCCGGCGACCGGAAATAATTTTTTTGAAAATTTTACAATTTCAATATAGCGGTTAACAACTTTTGTAACACTATTAACAACTTCAGTATAGCGGTTAACAACAGATTTTTTTGAAAAATTATATAACTCAAAAACTTGTTGTTAACCGTTATACTGAAGTTGTTAATAGGGTTACAAAAGTTGTTAACCGTTATACTGAAGTTGTAAAAATTTTCAAAAAAAATTGTTTTCGGTCGCCGGAGTTTGTTGAATTTCCCAGAAAAGCTGTTGTTAATTGCTATACTGAAGTTGTTAATAGCAGTACAAAAGTTGTTAATCGTTATATTGAAGTTGTAAAAATTTTCAAAAAAATTGTTTCCGGTCACCGGAGTTTATTGAATTTCCCAGAAAACTTGTTGTTAATTGCTATATTGAAGTTGTGAATGGCATTAAAAAAGTTGTTAATGGTTATATTGAAGTTGTAAAAATTTTCAAAAAATTGTTTCCGGTCGCTGGAGTTTGTTGAATTTCCCAGAAAAGCTGTTGTTAATTGTTATACTTAAGTTGTTAATCGCATTACAAAAGTTGTTAACCGTTATATTGAAGTTGTAAAAATTTTCAAAAAAAAAAATTCCGACCGACGGAGCTCCGGTGACCAATTGTCGGCTGGTCACGGAGCTCCGGTGACCGCCGCCGCCGGAGCTCCGGTGACCGGCCGGCCAGTAGGGCTGTGATATTTTAAAAATAATATTTAAAATGAAGGGCAATGTGGTCTTTTCCTTTCACATATTAATCCCAATTTGGTCTCATGGTACCAAAATGGGATTTCCTGAATTCAGCGGACGTTTCTGGGTTTATGAAATTAAAGGTACATTTTTCTGTCTTTTTCCCTTTTTTTAAAGTTATTTTTCAAATTTTATAAAATATAACTATAAATGATATTTAATATATAAAGTTAAAATTATATAATTATCAAAATTGAATAAATATAGTTATATTTCATAATTAATGATTAATTATATACAATACTTGTATATATAAAGTTATATTTTATAATTATATTCATAATTACACTATATATAGAATGATAATTATTCTTCAAAATGAGTCGCAAAGGGTCCCACAAACACAGTGATGGAGATGATGAGGCTGTGGGAGATGGAGAGGAGGAAAATAACACTGCTGGGTCAAAAAGTGCGAAGAAGAAGGGAAAAGATTCTCTGGACAATCTTTCCACATATGGGATACAACACGGATGAAATTCTAAACGGATGAAAATTCTAGTTAGTTGACAGCGTTTAACATCAAATAGGTTTACTTTTTTTACACAAAAAAGGACAAAGTTATTCTTTTGATTGTAAATTTAAGACTTATTTTTAAGCATAACATTTAGGACTGGAGGAGTAACATTTAAAACCCTAACGTTATTTTCTTGTAACATTCAATATTCTAATCTTATTTATGATCTACATGTGGTTATTTTTGATGTTATTTTTCCCTTTTGTTACTTTTTGTTTACATTTAATATTTTACTTTTATTTATGATTTGGAATGTCTCGTGTGCTAGATGCATCATAAGTAGTACTACCTCCGGTCCTAATTATAAAATCCAGTTGACTAATTTGAGGGGATTAAGGAAGTAAGTTAAATTAGTTATTTGTAACAAATAAGCGTTGTCATTCCTAAAATATCCTTACTAATTAAGTGTGTTAGTTAGAACTATTATTATTAGAAGGACTATCTTAGGAAAAAATGTATAAATACGAGAGATAAAATAGATTTGGGTCTTATAATTAGGACCAAACTAAAAGTCAAACGGGATTTTATATTAAGGAGCGGAGGTAGTATTAGATGTAATTGGGAAATATTATCTTACCAAGAGAAAATATTGTACACAAATAGATACAAGAAGCAGAGAAATCAAATTGCGAATAGGAGTGATGTATGTGTACAGTTGAAGCAACTCATTGAGGGGCTTGCCTGTGTTGTCGTGCTTCATCCACTTCAAGCAACTTGCCCTGCAGACGCAACGCTCACTACCAAACACAGAAATCATCACAAAGTGAGGTTCAGTTCAGGCGCACTCGCACTGCCATTGGTTGCCGCCTTCCGTGTCACGTGCAAGTCCCAGGCAGCTATATCCGGGAAAAGAAAAAAGAAAGTAATTACAAAGTCCGTAGCCTCATAATACAGGATAGGACGTTGTTGAAAACAGAAACAAGAGAAATGCGGAAAGCGACATTATTCGCAAATATTGGGTTCTGTGACTTACTTCCGGGTGTGTGGATGATTGCCCAAATCATGATTTAAAAAAAAAATTACTCAAACACCCATTAATTT